AATCTCTGCTTCCTGAGTTCAAGTGATTCTCCTGTCTCAGCCTCCCGAGTAGCTGGGATTACAGGCATGTGCCACCACACCTGGCTAAGTTTTGTATTTTTTTTAGTAGAGACAGGGTTTCACCATGTTGGCCAGGTTGGTCCTGGACTCCTGACCTCAGGTGATCCGCCCACCTCAGCCTCCCAAAGTGCTAGGATTATAGGTGTGAGCCACCACACCCAAATTTATGGTTCCTTTTTTTTAAAAAAAGTGAAGGGTTTCCTTCTAGTTACTTGTCCTTTATTGTATGTATATATATCTCTATCTAGGTACACATGCATAGATATGTATAAACTATGTATCATATATTACATATATACATAAAATATGTATATTACATATACATACATTACAGATAACATTTCCCAATCTCTGTCTTGTCTTTTTATTCTTTAAAGGGAATTTGTTGGTTTAAATAATTTATTACTAAAAAGTCCTGGGGTATAATGAGCTTCAGGCATGGCTAAATTCAGGGGCTAAAAAAATGTTATATAGTTGAATTCTGTCTCCCTGTCTTGGCTGTGCATCCTCCTGCATTAGCATTTCTTCCAAGCAGGTTGTCTCTTCATAGCAGGCCCCAGAAACTCTGGCTACTTTCTTCCCAGCTTAAAGTCTCAGGGAAAAAAGAGTGATTGCCTTTTTGAACAGTTCCAGTATGATGATCAGAATTGAATCTAGTTGGCTCTGACTGGCTCACTTGCCCATGTACTCTAGTCTGGCCTGGGGAATGTAATACTCTCACTTGTTTAGGGTTCGTGCCTGTGCTTATCCAGAAACTGGGTTAGAGTCTGCACTGACTGAATCATAGGGTCCTAGCAATTTGGGGGCATATGCAGAGGGGAGGAGGCAGGAGTGGGCAGGTAGGATCTGAAAGCAGTGATAATACTGTTAGCTGTTATGCTGGTCTTAGCAGCAAGTAGGAACTGTGAAGTCTGGGAAATCAGCCAGGGTTAGGTAGTTCCTAAAGAGCATTTTAGAAAGGTCAGGTATCATCTGTTAACATGTGTTTAGATTGCTAAAGATTGCTGCTCAGCCGGGCACAGTGGCTGACTCCTGTAATCCCAGCACTTTGGGAGGCTGAGGCGGGCGGATCACCTGAGGTCGGGAGTTTGAGACCAGCCTAGCCAACATGGTGAAACCCTGTCTCTACAAGAAACATTAGCCAGGTGTGGTGGCCTGTGCCTGTAATCTCAGCTACTCAGGAGGCTGGGACAGGAGAATCACTTGAACCTGGGAGGTGGAGGTTGCAGGTAGCCAAG